AAAAAAAAACTAAAAAATTGTGGACAGTCACTAATTATCATAGTTACGCTGAATAACCTGACAGTCGAAAATGTAACATAGTGATAATCAACTTACAACTATAGTTGAAATACTCCGATGACCATGGATTCCATTCAAGATTTTGAATATCCGCAAACGCCTACGGAAAATATGATGTCAGAAGATTTCTCTCCAAAATTATCTCAAAATTACCGGTGATAGATCCTCCGCTGGTTTCATCTGATATGAATTCTGTCGACCCCACGGCCAACCGGACCAAAAATCACTTTCGTCACTGGTCTTAGAACGTGAATTAAAATAAGGTAAATAACAAAATATCCTATGGCTCAGCATCTCAAGGTTACCTACCTCATGCGGATTATGTACGATGATATTTCTCTTCCTAGCCGAAGTGGTAGACGTTTCTATACGTGGTCTTCTAGTTGACGGGCGTCCTCCGTAGGTTACGCGCTGCACAGGAACCTGAAACATGATTTTGAGAAGTTCAACTCCAAAGTGACGGAACATGTCAAATCAGAGCTAAAAAAACATGATAACGGGGAAAATCGCTTTTGTTTTGTCCTAACCCCTATCGAGGCAAGGGACTGAGAGTCACGCAGCTGCACCCTGCTGTTCATAGCCAAGAAAAAAAAGTGTCACTCCCACCCCACTCCCCCCTCCCTTTTCTAGCGTTAACATGCTCAGCATTAAAACACCGAGCGCGACGACTATACTTGAACGTGCGCGACCTGCGCGCGATGACCGGCACGCGCGCATGTGAGACTATAAGCGTACACAGAAAGTATACCAATACCAATCATTTTCAAAGACACTTTTACAACGCTCTTCAATGCAGGCATAACTTCAACCTACCTGAACTTCATCAAATTCCGATGTAAACGAGCGTGTAAGCAACGGCACACGCTTGGATGAACGCCGCACTTCCAACTAGAAAGTTAGTACATATGAACATGCATTTCAAAATCCGAAAAAGAGACTTACAATCATTCTGACACCCATGAGACACAATGCTCCACTTTTCTCGTACACACCCATGTGTGTTCCAGATGAGAAAGCTGAAAATGAGCGCAGACACAATAGGAAAGAGATCAGAGAAACTTCCATAAAAGTGAAAATAAAATTTCACAAAAACTGGGAGTATCTGTAGTCTGATAACCCAGATAACTTGGTGAAAAGAAACAAAAAGGTGATAAATTTGAGAGTGAATACAGGACTTACAAGTGAAGAAGTATGTAGCATTGGCGTTGTAAACGGACTGCATGCCAAATGCAGAATTGGATCGTAGATTAATGCTTATGTATTTCGTACCAGCTGCGCATTCGCCAATCCATTCTGCTGACAGATCGTACTTACACTCATCGAATGATTCCTCTGATACCTGTTTTATCGAGATGACATACTGTGAAAAAAACGATTTGAAAAATACAGCCAAGCTTACAGTATTCGAATAAGCTCGAAACTGAATAAATAGAAGCTTGCGATGAAAGAGGCACACAGATTTCTAGATTTGAGAATATTGCTAATAGCAATTTAGAAATCAGTGTATTAGCAATATTCTACCCTTTTAATCAACTGGATTGGCGGCTGGAAGGCGGAACTTCGACGGCTAGAGAATGATCAGGGAGTACGATGGCGAGGAAAGCAGTATGCGCCGCGGGCGCGAGCGGTCGCCTTTCAGCCGCCAATCATCTCGCTGAATCAAAGGATACCACTGAAACCATGACTGCAGATTTGCGCAACCGTCTCCCATTCATTGCAAGCGATACAAGTGGTGATGTTGATGCATTCAACTGCATAAAGGATCGGGACGGGGAAAAGTTATAGACTGTTTCAATGAGGATGTCACATGTCCAGCAACTCCAGGCTCAAACATTCGCGACCGCCTCGCTACAACCTTGCGCCGCGTTCTCGG